GGTGCGCGCCCGACCGCATTCTAGGGAAGGTCATCCCGGCCGCCCACAAGCTTCGCCGCGCCCACCCGGGCCTTCTGAGCGCATCTGCCACGGAAGGTTCTCAGGCAACGTAATCAGAGGCAATAGGCCCTTAAAAACTATTATCAAAGCGATGCCGCGCTAAGGCACAGAAAGGTCCTCAGGGAAACATTTGTAATTGTAATCGTAGAATAATTTTGTACCTCTTTTCTTTAGTTGTAAGTTCTCCTTTAATTTTAATCTTTATTTTTTATTATACAATCTTTTTTTTCTTTTCCATTAATGTAACTTCCCCGGCACAGCATTGTCCAGGAATAAATGTTATCTTTTTTACCAGTAATCAAATTGTTTTCTTCAAATGTCCATGAAGTTAGTTTACAATTCCTTCCATCACCTAATTTTTAAATAGGTAAGGGTTGTAGAACCGACTGAGCTAAGCCGGGGCCGCTACCGCGCATTTACGACGATCCCACGTCGCCGGTAGATGCGTGGGGTGTAACTATATATATATCAAAGACAGCTTGATCTTATTTTGGGAAATTTCAGTTGCTCCGTAACTAAGAGAATTAATCTAATTTTTACTATAGTCATTTACTATTTTTACTACTTACCCTCACTATCAATTGAATTTATTCTATTTAAACGTTTTGATTTGGATAACTTTGAAACTTTTAATAATCGAATTAATTATGAAAAAGCAAATTACACTGAGATAAGGCGCTGGCAGCTACTGATTGAGGCAAATTATTCAACGCGACACCCCAATTTTCAACATTAAATGTAGTAAATACCACTTTTGGTTTACTACAAAAACTATTGACAAACTAAGATTAAAAATTAAGTTAAGAAAAAAAGAATATCAAATATTGACAGTCCTTGTTACAAAGATTTACAAAGACGTTAATAAAAACTTAGGGCAATAAATTAAAGAAACCAATTAATGAAAAATGTGAATCATATAATAAGGGCGTTGAAAGTGCTCTTATTAATGATCCATCGAAATTTTGGGCCTTTGCTACTGTAACCACACCGGCCGTGTGGCTGCCCCAACTCACCTGGTTACCTGCTTACGTCGATCTAGCGTTCCCCGGCTGCTCAGTCCGTAGCCTCTTTAAAGGGAGCCATGCGTGATGGGGCTTATTCGCGTTCTAATACTATACTGCATTGAAATGGTATCGGTATTTTGAAAGGTGAATTTAATGTTCGCTTTGCATGACGTGAAGCCCCCGTTATACTTTTTTTGTTAAAACTATCTTATACCTAACTTATCTCAAATTCGGCCTATGGAGCAAAGTTCATCCTTGGAAGTAGGGCGGCGCCCTTTCCGGCGGTCACGACCCCTGTTACGGGAGAGGCGGCCCTTCGCCCTGGTGCTTGGCGCGGTGCGATCGGTGGCGGCGCGGTCAAGCGGCGTGGAGGCGTCCACGGGCGCCAGCAACGCTAGCCCGGGCATCGGCGGCGCAGTTCGCGGCTGCGGTGGTTGCGCCTCGGCCCGTCGTCAGCCCTGGGCTCACTACCAGACACTCACAGTCATGGCCCCTGGCGTTCGTCCTGAGTTAGCGACCTCAGAGGAGGCCCGCGATGTGGCGATGATGCATTCGGGCGGAGGCGCGGCGGCGATGCGGTAGTACATCCACTGGCGTCCCTACCTCGGAAAGGCACTTCTACGCGCTGTCTCCTCTATCGGAATGGCCGAGATTGCGTGTCGCTGCTGCCTGCTCAACTTCGCGGGTCAAGTGGCCCTCCACCGCTTCTCTTTTTAATCCTTTTTCCTTCTAAGACGCTCGCAGGTAGCGAAGAACATACATTTCCAGGCCTCTTCTCAGCAACGTTATATTGAATAAAATATTTAAATACGCGTCGCAACCTGACGCGTGCGATCGTCCCTTTACAGTACCAAAAATGTTAAAAAGTTAATAGTACCATCATGCTTATCGCATTCAAATAAAGTATCATCTGTCCTGTTTGTTATCGTTACTTTCTAACCGTTAACTCTTAAAATTTTCCTCAGAATCATACAATAATTTTTTGACTGCGTTGTTAGATGCTGGAGATGTTTATGATGAAATAGGAAATCAGATTTTCTTAGATTATGATTATGTTTCGAGAAAACTGAGAAATTGGCGCCCGGGAGAGAAAAGATCCCACTTTTTTGGTAATTGTTTTAAAGCACTTGCAATACTCCTGCTTCTGATTCTTGTAACAATTTTTAAAGTTGGTATATGCCCTAATCCATGAAAAAATTTGTCCAGTATTCAAAAAAGTGAGAATAACTTGATAGGGAATTACAATCATACTTCACATAAGAATGTAATTTTTCTACAATACTTGAAAATCATTTGTATGATATTTTGTATTCTTCTTTTGTTCCAGCTATATTTGAAATACATCATGTATTTTTAAAAAAGGGATCTACACTTACAATCGTTTCCGATATTATTTCAGGAGTATAAATACCTTTTGCAGCTCTCACACGCAACCGATCTCTATAAATGAAATACCCCCCAAATATAATTTTACGGGGTCGTGACTAATTGCACTTTGCCCTCAAAATGTGAAGAATTTGTTTATAAAAACTAATGTAAATATTCATGCCAAATGCAACCCGCAGCTCTCAGCTGAATATATCGTTATATAATTCCTAAACAAAGCATTCTTAGCCTTAAGAAATCTCAGCCATAAAAATGGCAATTTTGATGTGATATTCTTGGACATTCTATTGAATTTTTCCTGGTTCAGTACTTATCGATACTACCAATTGGGTATTGCGTATTCTGGGTGCTGGGGTACACGAATTAGGCAGTTTTTTGGCTCTTCAATGAAGTGTGCTTCAGGATAATGTAAATATATTTTAAGAGAACTGTGGTAGATTTAAACTTGTTCTAACTCCCAATAAATGCAATGTTATGCCATATTATAGATCTACACCAACAAAGAATCATCTTTCAATTCATCATGAATTCAGAATGAACAATCAACAATCAATATTCAATTAATAACATTAGAAAATTAAATCCATCTTTTTTTGCCGGATCTAAACAGGAATACGATTAGGTAATATAGTCGCTTGACCGTAAAGAACTTGAAATAGCTCTGGAAAATTATCAGAGAAGACATTAAATATTTAGAATTTCGAGTTACTGGCAGTTCTCCGCCAAGCGGAGCGGAAGCGATGATGATTCCTTATTTTCAAAATTTAGGCGCGGAAGTTTAGCTAATAGGAGACAATTATCATTGATTGTACTCTTCATTGAACTATTGAGAAATATTACTTTTTGTCCACTGATACATGGAATTATTTCACAATCGGTTCCGGAATACGCGCATCATTCTGTGAGACTATTTTATAATATTGTCTCAGTTGATAGATATTCAAGTAAAGCATTTTTTATAAAATGAATAAGCAGCAATAAGTAAATAAAGCAGTAATAGCATTCTTTTAAATGTCAACAAATTTATAATCAGTGCTGAAATTGATATTGATATATTTGCTGACTCGGTTGTGACTGTACAATGCAGCAAATAACTTCACGTACACCAATGAATAGTTTAGCTCATTTTCTTTTCCATTCATTATAACCAGTCGCCAATGATTTTAATTGTAGGTAGGTTTAGTACATTTTTCATTTATTGAAACTAGTTGCTGTTATATTGCTTTAGTTATTTACTTAATATTGCTTTGTTAATGTTTTTAATCATTGTTAATCTTAATTTAACCATTGTTAAGCTTATTGTTGGGTATATCCCGCTGGCTATAGAACATAATAAATAAAAATAAAATCAAAAAGAGGACGCTTTGCTATTCCAGATCCAACTAGTGGTGGTACAGAATGGCACAGGCTTTCTCTTTGTTTTCCATTTCCTTTGGTCTCGGCTAGCTATTCGGACTTGCCATGTACTCTTTCAAGCTGCAATCTATGCCATCCAAAGTACGTTTTTTGATTTTCTTAATTTTTCGGTTTCATAGTTGAAGAAAAGCAATAATAATTTCAAAAAAATTCACATAACCTTTATGAAAGAACTTACTATACTACTACGGATAATGAATTTTATTTGAAGGAAAAGTCTCTATCTTCCATTTTATAGTTGTACGAAGACGCCGCAAAACATTCAAGCTTAAGCAATTTTCAAAATTTCAGTGTTAACCGTAAAAATCGAACCTATGCCACCTTTATAATCGGTGTATTTGTGTCTACTCTTACAAGAAATGTAAAGAAAATAATTTGGAGCCGGTTTTGAGAAAATTTTGAAAATATCTCAGGGGCTTCATGGAAAGTACCCTCAAAATTTGAAGTAAGATTTTCAAAATCGCGGCGCCCCGAGTGGAGCCAAGTAGATCGGGGAATATGCATTTTGGAAAAAATCGTATGTGCGGTTGAGGCGTTGGCGGTGTTCACGGACGGACGGGCAGGCGCTTTGCTATCATTGGGTTTTTGGTATCGGGGACCCACAAGACAGGGATTCTGGCTACATCACGTGTTTGAGTAGTTTGTTCTTAGGTAAAAAATGTATTTATCCACTTTTCATTATCAGAGCCCGGCAAAGAATTTTTTTGCCGATAATCCGCCGTTTATTCGCGCAGTATTACATAACTTTCCCCATACTACGTATATTTCTCCGTATATACGTATGTATACAGGGAAGTAAAAAGCATTGGGGAAATTATACGCTTTCTGTTATAAGAATGAATGTCAAATGTTTACTTAATAACTTAAAAATATTCATTAAATAAAGTTTTAAACATTGTGATTCACACTTTGCTACAAAGCAATCATAAACAAAGAGGTAAAACTATGCCACTCATTGGGCAGCATTGAACAACGCGCAATAAATGCTGTAGCATTAAGTCACCCCATTCTATGAGGTGACATTATGATACTTTTAGATAATTTTTTTCAAAGACATTTATTTCAATAATTATCACCATATAAAATAGGTAAAGCATGTTTTCAAATATCGTATACTGCCAAAACTCTGTTAATAAGGTGAAAAATAAACATTTATTTACTATAATCTCCCCGAAGTCGACAATACCACCCCGGTTTACGGTAATTAACTAAAAATACATAAAACTTACGGATAGATGTCGCAAAGTGGCGTTTCTGAAATGACAGGCAAGTCAAATTCACCTTGAGCCCATGCTGTGAAAGCCACAGGTAACACTCCCATGAGATTGTAACTCCTCGAGGACCGTGAAGGTTGCAGCTTACTCTCAGTTGGAATCTAAAACACAGATGAAACGATTGAATAAAGACATCAGGAAAAATGATGTAACTTAATATTATATTTAATAACTAGCGGACCCGACAGACTTCATCCTGTCAAAAAGATTTGTAATGTGAATTTTTTCCCCACATATTTTATAGTCTGGGCAAAAAATTCTCCTGAACAGAACTCGTGCCACCTGGTGATAGGCGTTGTGAATAAGAAATATAATTAAATAATATATATATATATATATATATATATATATATATATAAGCAATTTAAAAAGTAAGTAATCGCTTTATTGTTAATCATGTGGAATCATAATTCATTACAAAATCAGTTTATTTCATTGTAGTGGCTTTGTGTTTCACGTTTTTGTTTGATTACCTGGCACATAGAAAAACAGATCTGATGGTTTTCCAACACGGGAACAGGCAACATATCAATTGAACCATGTGAGACACATGGGTTTTCAGATTATAATACCACAAACACTTAATGATTGCGCCTGGGATGTTTATGGTCATAGCAAAACCAAGGCGAAACTGGAAACTGTAGTCGTTTAAAGTTCAAACTGCAACATCAAGTCGGACTCATTGGATGCGCGGTTATAGGACGTCTTCTCTTTATACCTTCCTTTCGTATGTTGCTACATACGTTGTTTAGTAATTTTTTTATCGTTAACCCGTGAGCCGTTGCAAAAGACGGTGGTTGGCTGATATTTCGCAACATTTATAACTACCGATCCAACCTTTAATTTGAAATTTTGGGTGGCAATCCTTGGCAGAATCCAGGGGTTTAAAATTCTGGTGGATAGTTGCACTACATCATTTGGTTAGTAGCAAGATCCACTGATTTATATATCCTCGATTCATGCCTGTAATTTTTCTTGAAATTTTTAAATTTTAATTCATTTAACATCTATGTTGTCTTGCAGCCAATATAGCTCGTTCGCTCAACCCCAATCATGGGTTTCTGTAATTTTGAGAAACATCTGGAAACACCTTCTGAAAGTCATCTTTTGATCGGAAGACTACTGGCTGCATTAAACTTTCCTCCAAAGTTTTTTTGTCAGTTAACAGGTCTATAGGAAATTTGCGCATTACCAATAGCAAATGAGTTGTTAGAGAATATTTTTCCAGATTTGGTCATTTGCAACTCGACACTCATTATTCTTGCTTAACATGAAGTACTTTGACATGTTTTCAACAAATTGGAGGACTTTATCATGCATTGAGTTCATCAGCTGGTGTTGAATCGCTGGAATGTCGACTTGGCATGTTTGACGAAAATACTCCAGCTAATAAAACCATTCGACCACCAAATGGTTATGAAATTGCCTGCGTAGATATTTGTTAAGGTTCTGTTCTAAAGCCTCCAAAAGATTTTTATGTGCCATCGTGCATTTCATCCCAAACAATTAATTTACATTGCTGTAAGACCTTTTCCATTGCACGAGTTCTTCGAAATGTTTGGCAGGTCGGAGTTTCATTGCTTTGGCATTATTTAATGGCATTTTAATGCTGAATGTTAGCCCTTGTTCTACCCACCTTCAAGCAAAGTTTGCTGCGATCCCCGACGAAGCGAGTGCCAAGTGCAATTTTATTTTTGATGCGGAATCGTTGGTAATATTATGAAATCAAAAGGTTTTTCCTGTCCACCAAGGCTGCATCTTAAGAAGGAAATCCTCCGGTTTCATTTGTTACTTTCATAAGAGTATCAATACATACTTCTGCTGTTCATTCGACAGCTGAAGATTGTTTGAATTAATTCTTTCAAAGTGTTGAGATCATAACAGTTTTTCCTCGATTTCAACTCTTGGTTAAAAGCATCATGCATTGGAGTGATTGGGCGGCGGCAGGACTAATTGATTAATAGTTTGTTTGACATCATCAAGTACATGTCCTCAATTGAACATCAATGCTTCGTTGTAAGAGTTTCTTGACTAACGTGATGATTATGATCTAAGATGGAAGAAATGGAAGATATGTGACATTTTAACTTGGGTCTGACAGAACATAAAATTAATTATTGATTAACTGGCTATTAATAAAATACCTTGAAGTTGGGCAAATAAAATTTTTCGCCGAACACTCATTTGAATGACCCAAATTGATGAAGTCCATTTGAAAAGCAATTGTTTATATTGTTGGATATTTGTCAAAAGTTGTATGGAATCTGTTCCTATTCCTGAAACCAATGAGTACAATGGCCTCTGGTGCGTGGTTATCAATGGTATCAAATTCACTTACCATTTGCGCAACACCAATCTATTAGTTTCGTTTTTATATTTCAATGCCTTACAATATGAGCAAACGAGTTCATAGAACCATTAAGCCAACCACATTACGGTCAAGTTATGTAGTCAATTGACACATGTGTAAATGCAAAGCAGCTCGATTCAACTTGCGCGGATTATTGTTGAATGTAGCGCTCGCGCGTTTCACGCGTTTTCTGATATCCGAATTTTTTCATGTTCATTCGTCGTCACGTTCTTGTGCAGCATGATTAGATTTAGTCAATTATCTTGCGGTTTGTAGCATTTCGGGTCTTCTACCTAAATGCTTCGTCTAATAGGAGGCATTTCTATATATAGATTTATTGTTAAAGTTTCGGAACGCAAGACATTTTAAATCTTCAACGATGTTTTCCTGCTGCTCCAACGTACAACGACGCGCACGTTTTGACATAGATATGATTGAGATTGAACTTTTGTATAATGGTAATAAAATGAAATTGACGTCTTTGACGGTTAGGAACATAACCTACATTGTTTAACAGCAAATGAGTGCTGTTTACAATAGCTATAAAGCTGAAATGACTCTACGTATAGATTAGAAAACGTTCTGTATAGGAAACAAAAAGGGGCTGTTTTTAGGTTGTTTTCCGCAATTATTCGAATTTTTCTCGACGTAAAACATTTCTTGAACTTCAACGAAAATTAATAAAAACAATTAGCCAATTTGTCCAGGCGTTGTTGAGTTATGCGTTTACGACACATTTTGCGATTAATTTTTTATAAGATTTCAATGTTATTGTATATCTAAATATTCAGCCGTTTGATACGAAATGTCGATACGAAATACGAAATTACGCTGCCTCTGTCTGCATTATGCGTAGAAAGAGGACAGCGGATGGCGATAACATGCGAGAATCGCAAGACCAATTTTCAGTCTGTAAACGTGCGCCCATGCTCATATCTACTCTTTAATAAAGATGACCGAAGGAGACAGATTTTGATGAAATGAAAAAGCTTTAAATTTTTAAGTTTGAAAAATCTATTAACTTTGTAAAAAAATTGAAAATGTATTGAATTGAAAAAAAAGAGATAATTTTTCCAAAAAAACGGAGACGGAGATGAAGCTCAAAAACGCGGAGTCGCCGGTCTAAAACCGGAGAGGTGGAAACCCCATAGCAAAATGGACTCTTTTACGTTAGACTGAACCCACATACGCCCAAAGCTACAAAATGAGTGCTGCTGCTACTAACAACATGAGTTCGTTTTATTCACAGCTATTAAAGCTCACAAATTGACTCTACGTTTTAGTTAGAAAACATTTGTATTGGAAAAAAAGGAAAAAAGGCTGTTTTTAGAGGTTTTTCGCAATTATTCGAATTTTTCTCGGCGTTTATTAATAACGCATCCTTGAACTCAACAACATTTAACAAAAAACGATTGCCCAAATTTGCGTTTAGGCGTTGGTTCTGATTATGCGCTTACGCCAACACATTTTGGCGATTCATTTTTATATTATAGATTATTATTTATTTGTAAAAAGTTCTCAGTTCTTGTTCGAAATAAGCGCAATGGGCAAAGTATACGCAAATTAGAGGGAGATAATATGCCACTTAACTCCTTACTGAGTATTTTGTTGTCGTTCAAGCGGCGGATTCTCGGGCTCAAATTCAATTATCTGAATCCGCTTGCATAACTTTTTTAGTAGTTTATTATTATTATTATTATTATTATTATCATTATTATTATTATTATTATTATTATTATTATTATCATTATTATTATTATTATTATTATTATTATCATTATTATTATTATTATTATTATTATTATTATTATTATTATTATTATTATATTATTATTTATTCAAGTCCCTCGCCCAGCGAGATGTCCTATAATAGACACAGAGACAGTTTGAGAACCAAGTTTCGCTTGCTAACTCGGTTGATTGGGAATTAACATGAAGTTATATCAATACAACACCTGCTCACGGTGCGTGCAGTAGTCAGGAGAACAGCATTTTGCGTTGTCTGAATGTGCCAGTTCTTAAGGCCAAGTCCTGCAGACGAAGTTAGTTCTTCAAAGACCAGTCCATTTGCAAGGATGGCCAAAGATCCCCCCACATGTCGTTCAGTTCAATAGCCAAGTCCTGATATTTTAGCTTCTCTGCAATTGAGACAGCTATATTTCGGCCTAAAGGGATAACTATGTCGATTATAATCCCTTTCCGTGAGCCCTTATCAATCCATATTATGTCAGGTCTGTTGGCTTCAATCCTTCAATCCAGAAAATCTCTACCTTCTTCGTTCCAAGGTAAGTATAGTCTTGCCATTGAACTGTTTGGATGGTGAATGTGGTACATGGTAAAAGAGGTCCTAACGTTTCGATTAAGCTCTTGTAGTGCAGTTGTACCAAATGTATAGATAGGAATAAATACTGTCGAGTGTTGATGGATTCTTCCCATTTTAAAGAGTTTTACAGATTTTGTGACTTTATTCAAGAATATATTTGGAATATCACTCCTCATCTTTGCTTCAGTTGTGCTCAAAAGTTGACGAACGCCCAACTGCTTGTATATGTGTGCCACAGCTTTTCCCCCTTTTCACGTTCCCTGCAGCGCATTCACCAAGGCCAAACTCCGGACAAAGAGAGTCGCTGAAGGACTTAACAAATTCACGCAACGAGGAAAGCTCGTT